TTTTGGGCTCTCTTACGTATAATCGCATATCTGCTAATAGGGATAATTTGACCACTTGTTTTCTAATTTGTACCCCTTTAAATTGCCTTCTCTTGTCTTATTTCTCTAGATAGAGTTTCAAGTAATATATTTAAAAGGAGTGGAGATAGTGGACAGCCTTGTCTGATTCCGATTTTAATGGGAATGCTTCAAGTTTTTCTCCATTTAGAATTATATTGACTGTGGGTTTGTCATGTATAGCTTTAATTATGTTAAAGTATGTGCCCTGAGGTCCAAATCCCTCTAGGACTTTTCTCTTGATTGCATGTTGGATTTTGTTAAAGCCTTTTCTGTGTCTATTGAGATGATTATGTGATTTTTGTCTTTAAGTCCATTTATAAGGTTTGTTATATTTATTGACTTATATAATACTGAACCAGCCATGCATCTCTGGAATAAAACCAAGTTGATTATGGTGGATGATCTTTTTGATGTGTGTCTGTATGCTATTTGTGATAGTTTGTTAAGAATTTTTGAGTCTATTTTCATTAGGGTTATGGGCCTATAATTTTCTTTTTTTGTTTTGTTTTGACCTGGTTTTGCTATTAGAGTAATATTGAGGGTAGCTCAGTTTCAAGCATTATGTTCTTTCCCAAGGTGGCACCTACAAGGAAAACAAACAAATACCAACACCTTTATCCTTCTGGAGCTTACAGCATAGCAGAAAAGCACGTTTTGTGCAGATTCACAAAATGACAGGAAAGGGTTTGGATTGTTTGGGACAGTCAATAAAAGTTTAAACTAGATATCCTGGAAATGCTCCCTTGAGAAGGATACATTGGGTATTAGAGATGGAGTCATGGAATTCCTTAGGAGAACATTCCAAGCAGAAAGAAGGCCCAAGGATAAAGACTCTAAGCTCATACATGCTTGGTCTGTTTGAGGCAAAAATACAGGAGTGGGTTGGAGAGGGGTGTGGTTAGATGGTGTTAGATGCCTAATAGTGAGCAGAAGTGGAATCGAGGGGATTTTAAGGTCTTTGGGTAAATGAAGGCTTTGGATGACATTGAGTGGGTGTGAGAAAGGGTATGATAAAATCTGACACATGCTAGAGGGGACCTGTCTCAGGCTACTATGTTACTGGCTGAAGATGGATAAAGTTTGAAAAGTATCACCCCAAAGGCTTCAACAGTAATTCAAATGTGAGACAGGGGTGCCTTGAGTCAGTGGTAGCTGTGGAGGTGCACAGAGATGGCTGGATTTGGACATATTGCCAAGATAGGATATGCTGTCAGAACTTTATACATCTAATTTATAAACCTGGCATTGACTTGTCCAGTCAAGGAGAAATCATTGTTTTAAACTTGTATTAAATTTGTTCTTTGACAGTTTCATACACAATGTGTTCTCTTTACCATCACATTCTATCTGAGCTCCCGCCCCCCCCCCAATCCCTTTAACCCCTCTTCCTACAAGTCCCTTTTCCCCATTGATGCCAGGGTCTCAGTGTACAGCCCTGACTGGCCTAGGCTCTCAGAGAGATCAGTGTAGATCAGGCTGGCCTAAAACTCAGAGAGATTTTCTGCCTCTGCCTTCTAAGCACTGGGATTTGCTTTATTTTGTGACTTGCTGAATTTAACTATGGCCGTCTGCTATGAGGTCAGAATTGCATCGATTCTGTCATGCCCTGATAGCATCTCATAGCCCTTCAAGGAAAGTATTTCAGTTGTGGAAAAGCAAATGACGGGTATATAAAATGGAAGATTTTAATTTAAAATTACTTATGTATTTTGTATTACAGAGTATATCAAGGTTATTAAGATGTTTTCTGGTGAAAATGACATTTCTTTAAAATTCATTTTTATTGTTACTGATTCAGGAATTTTTATCGTATTCAGATCCCTTCCCTCTTCTCCACCCCCACCTAACTACCCCTTTGACTTCATGTTCCTCTATTATTATTTGTTTTTCTTTTATAAGACCTATTGAGTCTGATCTGTGTTTCAGATATGCTCTTGTGTGTCAATCTATCCTTTGGAGTCTGGTCAATCTACCGGGGGAACACACCAATAAGGAAAATTTACTGTGCCTCTCCCAACATCCATCAGTTGCCACAAGATCTTCAGCTATGGATGGGGCTTTCTGCCCATCTCTCCCATCCATGCTGGGCCCCTGTCTGACTTGGGCCTGCACAGGCTTTGTGCATGCTGTCATGAGCACTGTGAGTTCATCTGTGCAACTACCCTGTGGTGTCCAGACAATACAGTTTCCCTGTATTCTTTCACCACCTCTAGCTCTTACACCCTTTCTACTCCCTCTTCCGCAATGATCCATGAGTCTTGGAAAGAGAGAGTAAAATATAGGCAACCCATTTAAGGCTGAGTTTCTTAGCCTCTGCACATTGACCAGTTGTGACTCTCTGTATTAATTGATACCTGCTGCAAGAAAAGACTTCTGTGGCAGAATATGAGAGGTACATTAATCTGAAATAGAATTTCTCTATACACGTATATGTTTATATTTAATTTACCCTACTAAAATAATAAGGAACTCAACCCTAGGATTTATAGGATTAATTTTTATTTATTGTAAAGTAATAAAAAATTTAATGTCTTATATTGAGCATTTGTTTAAAATAAAATATTTCCCATAGCCCATTTTTTTCCCTAAAAACAACAGGGTGTTGATTAATGAATATTTGATTGCACATTAAAGTTTTTGTTGTGTCGTTGCTGAGGACTGAGCCCAGCAGCACATGCTAAGCAGGAGCTCCAGCACTGAGCTCCACTCCCAGCCAGATTAGTTCTTAAGGGAAAAACTAGTTGTGTACTTTTAAATGGAAGAACAATTGAAATCATTTTTATTTATTTTAATATTTAGTCATATGAAGAGCTGGGTAATGTTTTCTGACTTTTACCAGTAGAGGGCAGCAAAGTTTCAGATAGGATGCTTGAAAGCTTTGCTGAGGAAAATTGGCTTTTAAAAGGAAGTGTGTGACACACAGTAATTAAAAGCACCAAACTGGTGGAACTAACCTTTGGATGTTTAACAGACATACTTTGAGGCCTATAATAATTTGGTCAGAGGGACATAAAAGACACTTTTTGCTCCTCGCCCTCCTAGGTTGACTAGTTCCAGGGAACTATGAGCATCTCTCATAATGTCCTGTAATTGTGGTGGGTCATCTGTCCCCTTGATCAAGGAGGCCGAGGAGAACCCACCAGATGGACTTGAACTAGTCCAGTCTACAAAGAGGAGGGTCAACACAGAGGAATCATTTCCTCCATGCTTCCAAGCGAAGCCAACCATGGTCGAGCAGGACCTTTGACTTATCTTCACATAGGGGGAACTGGTAAAAGAAAGGAGCCAGGGGCTCCTCCCAAGCCCATGTTACCCCTGAGCAACAGATCCTCAAAAGACCTTAAGAGTAAAAATAAATTGGTTTATCTGGGCCAACAGTATGGCCTTAAGCACCCAAAAGGAAAGTATAACCAAAGATTAAAGGGGCCAATGTAATTTCTTAAGAGTCCATATGCATAGCTAAAGGCTACATAACAAGCAACAATGCCAGATAGGAAACACTTTCTTTTGAGTGGTTGGCCAGGGTGGCCAAAGGGACTACCACACAGTAACCCAGCATAGAACTGGGAAAATGAACATTAGACCCCAATCTTATGAATACTGACAACTGATTGCTGCTAGATGAGGAACAGCTGACCCTCCTAAA